AGGGAGTGGGAGCCTGCGGGGCGGGGCGGTGAGACCGCGACCTCCTCCCGCGCCGCTCCCCGCGCCCTCCGCCCGCACTCACCCGCGCGGGTCTCGGTCAGGACCAGGGCCCCCGAGAGCAGCAGCAGGAGGGTTCCGGGCGCCATCACCCCCATCCTCGGGAGTTGGAGTTTTCTGTCTTTTTTTTTTTTTTTTTGAGACAAAGTCTCGTTATGTAGCCCAGGCGTGCCTCGAACTCACGGCGATCCTCCTGCCTCAGCCGATCGTCCTGCCTCGGACTCCTGAGTGCTGCAATTACAGGCAAGCGCCGTTACGCCCGGTTTCTGTTCCGCCTCCGGTGAGTTAGAAATGCTGGAGGCCACCTCCAAGGACACGAGTGTGGGGCAGAGAAAATGTACTCTGGACGGTGACTGACTTCCTTAAAATCCGAGAGCGAGATCTGGCCTACGACGTCACGAGTGTCGAGACAGAAAGGATCCGCAACAGGGCTGATTAAAAACACAGGCCTCTGCTGCTCTCGAGCGCCATCCAGCGCCACCAGGGCAGGTTCCTAACAGTGCGGTATGCCCTGCCCTCATCTGCCTCACAGATCGGGCACCCTGTGACTTCTGGCTGTTCCCCAAGTCAAAATGACCATGAAAAGTAGAGGTTTTGAATCCATCTGGGGAACCTGGGCCGCAAAGACAGAGGGCCAAAGAAGAGGGAACTGCTTCAGACAGTGGCGAGACAGGCGGGTGCGTGTGAAGAGCGCGGGAGTATTTTGAGCGGGTCATGGTGAGGCGTCTTTTACTGTAATAACGTTTTAAAAACTATTTAAGCAGTCACCGTGTTTTTGATCACACCCTACCATACTCTTAGAATTAGTGAGGACACACCCAAAGAGCCTTGTTTATGTGAATTATATCAACATTCATCGAAACAATTCTGGACAATTTTATTCGTTTAAATAATGTTAACATACCATTACATGTATAAAGTAATACACTTTTTAAAAAGTAATATATTTTTATGAAAAATAACTACTTTCCAAAACAATGTGGTCAGAAGAGTGATTACTCTTTCTTTTCTGTTTTAGAGGAGAGGGCTGCATTTTCCTGTCTGCATTCGTTCCTTTGCTTTCGCTTTGTTTTCGCAGTTCAGCAGACAGTTTATTTCCTCCCCCCACTTCTCCGCCCCGCCCCGCCCCTCTCCGC